TAAAACTATTACTTAATTTTTAAAAATTATTTAAATCCTCTTTTAGAACCCTATTGAGGTACATTATATTTTTATATTTCTATTTTGACAATTAGATTTTTAGACTGAATTGTATTTTAAAATCTAATGATGATGTAGCAATTTATAAATATGCATTTGTGCCATCATAATCTGTAGATTAAACCAATGATTTATACATGAACACACATATAGTATATGTTTATTATGTTTTTCAAACCACTTAAATGAACATTGAAAACGTTCAAGACAAGACACTATTTGTGAATGTAATATGTGCTAGGAACTATTTTAAGAATTTGAATAAAAAAATATATTGATTTCAGAGAGGAAGGGAGAGGGAGAAAGAGATGGAAACATCAAGGACAAGAGAGAATCATTGACAGGCTGCCTGCTGCACGCCCCGTACTAGGGATCAAGCCTGCAACCCAGAGACTCACCCAGAACTGGAGTTCAGAGCAGTCACCTGTGACCTCCTGATTCATAGGTTGACTCTTAACCACTTAGCCACGCCAGCCAGGCAATAAAATCTATTTAAAAAAAAATAAATAAAATGAGCAGAATCAAGGAGGAGCAAAATAATACCTCAATTTACCTAGCAAATATGAAAGAGAACTCCACAGTCTATGTTGGAATTGTCATGAGCTCTTAAATGATGTTCTTGCAAAGGTCGTGTATTTTCAGCCATTAACTCCCTCCCTGCCAAGGTCTCCCTCTACTAACCTATGGTCTTTTAGCATCAAGTTTGTAAGAGTATGAAAGTACAAACAACATAAAGAGCTCACAGAAGAGGAATGATTTAAAGTATTCTAAATCCTTACAATGGAATGTTGTGATCATCAAAAATTAGGTTGATGAGAGGTTTTTTATAACATGAAACTATATTAAATAGAAAAAAGATAAAACTTAGTAAGTAAAGTATGATTATAACCATAGTTTTTGTTTTGCTTTCTTTTTATTAAAAACTTTCATTTTAAAAAAAGGTCAGAAAGAAACAAAAATGCCCAAAATGGTGATACACTGTCAAACCTTGGTTCTTTAACAATTAGGTTCTCTACCAAGTTGTTCAAAGGAGAGGGGGGGAACAAAACTCCTTTTTCAACCTGATAACCCTTTCATGCTGATACCTCAGCATGACAAAAAGCATCTCTCAGACTTTTGTTGCTGGAGAAATCAATGATTAACACAATTTTAAAACATAAATAGGCCATCAAGGGTGCTAATATTGCTAAGGGTGTGAAAGTGCTCACAAAACCACAATGACAGGCAATTTGAAGAGGCAGAAAAAATTGTTTATTTGGATACACGCAAAGCAGTTAGCCTGTGGCAGCATTTTGGAGGCAATGATATGTGAGAAAGTGAAGATGCCGCATCCTGACCTCCTGAAAGACTCCCCTGGAACGAGTGCTGAAAGTGATTCCTTTAAGGCTAGCAGGAGTGGTTCGATAAATTAGGAAAAGAAGTGTTTGTTCACAGATTAAACAGTACATTAGACATGTATTGTATACATGAAAGATGGATCTGGAAAGGATTAATTAAATTTACATTATTTATAATGGGAAAAAATGATTTGGTTTTCAAACAAATGGCTTTTCGAACAGCCTTCTGGAATGAATTAAGTTTGAGAACAGAGGTTCCACTGTGTAAGGGAAAACCAACTTGTTTTAGGAGTTAGAAGGCTTAGCTTGTGAAGAACTCATGACATATAGAATCTGTTATGTTGAGTTGAGAAACAGATTATGATATTTTGCCTGAAGATTTAAAAAAATACGGAAGATAATGCATCAAATTATCTTAGCCAACACTTTAGACAACCTAGAACTTGTACTTGAGTCTAGGTTGCTGTTTTACAAGTATGTTTCAGTAACAATAATGATAATACACACTCAAAATATACTGTGTAAGCCCAGCCGGCATGGCTCAGTGGTTGAGTGTTGACCTATGAACCAGGTGGTCACGGTTCAATTTCCTGTCAGGGCACATGCCTGGGTTGTGGGCTCGACCTCTAGTGAGGGGCCTGCAGGAGGCAGTGAATCAATGATTCTCTCTCATCATTGATGTTTCTATCTTTCCCTTCCTCTCTGAAATCAATAAAGTATATATAAATATATAAATATATAAATATATAAATATATTCAATTTCCCAAAATAACCGTAGAGTAGACTATTATCTCCATTTTTATAGATAAGGAAACTCAGGTAGGGTTGGACTAATTTGCCCAAATAATATACATAGTTAAGTGGGAGAGCCAACATTTTTAATCTAGTTATGCTATCTGGTCCCAAAGCCAGTGTATTTGATCACTACATACTATATATTTTAATTGTGAAAATCATCTATAACTTAGTTCAGGGTTAGAAGTAATGATCTTATGAATTTGTGGTAATTCAGAATAGTTATGATCAAACTCTCCATTGCATTCTTAGTGCATTAAAAAAAAAAGTCCTTTGGTTTGTTTGACAGCTGTTATTTACAGAACCCCAAACTGTTGGTAACTGCTAACAAAGTTCCTTTTCTTCTCCTTTGAATCAATTCTTTCAGTAGACTTAGATGCTTTGTATGTGTCTGATAGAAGAACTACAAAAGTCCTAAATTTTAATTTATTATATGGTTTTAAAATTCATTTGCACTATAATTGGTTGACATTTGCTTTTATTTGGAGAAGTGGAATTTGTATCCTACAGCTCTTTGAGGCATAAAATTAAATTCACTATTAACCCTTCTCCTTAACTGTTTTCAGTTCCTTTTTTTTTCTTTCACTTAAGAGTTATAGTCTCATGCAAATAGTTTGGATGATCATGCAGTTCTCTTATTAAGTAAACAGTTTTATTGCTCTCAGAAGGGGATGAGTTGTGCAGACTTTAATTATTGTAGTAGGTAAAGTTTGTTTTCTTATTTTTAAGTATCTTATTTATATATTCTTTTGGAATAGGTAAAATGTGTATTGTACAACATTAGAAAGATTGGCAAGTAAGTCGTCATCTTTCTATTCCTACTTCCAGGCTCCCTCCCTGGGGTGCTCTCTTCAGTAATAATACCAAAGCGGGGAGGAAACATTAATGAATAATATGCCAAACTGAGTGAAACTTTACATGTCCCCGATTATTATGCAGTAAAGTTCTTTGCTTTTCAAAAAAACTTGCACAAAGTCTTTTTTTAAAAAATATCTTTTTATTGATTTCAGAGAGGAAGGGAGAGGAAGAGAGAGATAGAAACATCAATGATGAGAGAGAATCATTGATTGGTTGCCTCCTGCACACCCCTCACTGGGGATCGAGCCCACAAGCTGGGCATGTGCCCTGACTGGGAATTGAATCTGGGACCTCCTGGTTCATAGGTCGACACTCAACCACTGAGCCACACCAGCCGGGCTAATCAAAATCATTTTTATATAATAAACTACATCTTCATGTTTCTGATTTTATCCCTCCCCCCCATCAAATTACCTCATTAGACATTTCTCACACTTTTGACTTGTTAATCTTCATTCTTTTATGAGAAGTTAAAAATCTATTAGTAATAAAAGCAAACATGGATGTCTTATACTGTTTTGTTTGCTAGTTGAAATTTTATTTTAACTGAAGTTGATAAATATTGGGTTTAGGTGAAGTTGGATCACTTTACAATTGTAACGGGTACTTAGCTCTATTTCAATTTTTCTATTTTATAGAGCACTGGGATGCAAAGAAACCTCAACATATAGAAAGTTTTGGTGTATAGCATTTGTTCTTCTAATTTTCTTGGCTTAATTATGAACAGAGAAGAATAAATACAGAGTTACTCTTATTGTGTACCTAAAGTTCAGATTTTTTTCCCTTGCATTGGGAGGAAAAGTGTGCCAGAGAATAATTTTCTAATGACATTGTTGTAGCTCTTTCTAATTATGCTTCCTTTTATGTGTATCTTTTTAAATGTATGTGAAAGGTAGGGTACATTGTAGTTTTCTAAGGGAGTTATACCTAATTTACATATTATTTTGTTTAAAAGAAGCATTTTGAGACACTTCCAGACCGATAGGAATCTGTAGTTAAAAAATGTGCCCCAGATACAGCTTTCCTACAAATAATAGAAAATAAGTACCCTGTTCAATGTATCTTTCTAGAAATCTTATCTTCCCTTTAAAAGTTAATATATATTTTGGTCACGGTTTTATACATTTGTTCTATAAGTTGGGATATTTTATATATACCCTTGATCAGGTGTCACTAGCCTAAAAATACCTATAGGGGAAGAAGGGCCAGGGATAGTTGAGGAGGGAAGAAAACAATAATGAATGATAGACTATATAGTTAACCAAAGGGCTCAGACTCTGCTATCCACTTTGAGCAGTTGTATCTCCTTTTTCTTCAAAAATTTTAAATGAAATCTCTCCCATTTGTGAAATCAAATCTATAAATATTAGCCACTAATTCACACTTTTGTAAAATAATGGTGTGAGCCATCACTTTATAGGCCAAATACAACATGACTGCAGGCCAAAATAAAGCCCATGGGCCACTGGTATGCAACCTATGCCCTAGATTATCTTCACTACCTTACGCTTGTATGAACTTGCCATATTCTGTTTTGACATTTATTAAGGGATAGTAATGATGATAATGCTGCTAGCTGTCTGCTTTGATTAATACTTAGCATATTAGTTAAGTAAACATTGAATTTTTGCGTAGGAATGAAGAACAAACTATATAGAGACAGTGGCATATGTCTTGGCTCCCATGAGTTTCATTCTCAGCCCCTTTCTTTCTCGAGATCTGCCATCCTTCTTTTCCTGTCTCCGTATTTCAGTATCTCCCTGCTCCTCCCACGAATGTTCTTTTCATTTGTAAGAATTATAAAAGAGAAATCTTTCTTACAGAAATTCTATAGAATGAAAATCACTTTGTGACTTACTACGCTGCACAATCTTTAAGACATTTTCCCCCAAAACATTAAAATTCCTTAGTCTTAATACTATTTTTTTTCAAATGTGCTTTTTAAACAGAAAAACGACTGCCTTTAAGACTACTAGTGAAAAGACCCACACAGAAACAATCTAAAGGGGCAGCCTCACGGCCATGGAAGATTTGACCCCAATCCATCAGGGATGATTGAATGAGATGCCATTTACAGTGATTCGGTACAGAAAAAAATAAATCAAGTAAGCTAGCAAAACTGCTTCTAGCCAAGTTGAAGTAATAGACACAATATTTACTTTCCTGCCCACAACAACTAAAAAATGGATAAAACATGTGAAACAACACTTTTCAAGATCTTGAAGATCAGGCAATGAAAGACAATGATATCCCTGAGAGATGGAAACAAAGTGAGCCTTATGATTACCCAGCTTACTAAATTGAAGAGACTTTCTAGACTGTGGTACATGCAAGGTGTGGGAAACAAGGTGAAGAACTGTAGACTTTCTGAATTTAGGATATGTTACTTAACATCTAAGGAGACACAGGCAGCTAGAGTTAACAGGACAGAGTACTGCAAAGGTAAGAACTACGCAGAAAGAGAACCCTGGAGATCTGTAGAGGCCCCCTTTGAGTATTCAGGTGAGTACTCAGTAGCACTTACACGTGAGGAAACTTCTTGAGCTGGATTAGAGGGAACAGTACTTTTGTATGCAGGGTCAGGAATAGTACCTGTTTCCACAAACCACACTGGAAAACCTCAAGATTCATGAAGTACTAAGTAGAGTACACAGAAGAATTTTCCCCTCAGTAGTGAGAAATAGCCCTAGACTGAGCATTGTTCTGGACCAGTTTAACAAATTATAAAAGCTAGTTCCCAAAGGGTCAGACTTCCAAGTTTTCAAATAATTTTTCATCCACAAGCAAAACTTAAGAATACTTATAAACATATAAACATAAGCATCCAGCCCTGGCTGGTGTGGCTTGGTTAGTTGAAGCATTGTGCTGTACACCAAAGGATCTCAGGTTTGATACCCAGTCAGGGCACATAAGGGAGGCAACAGATCGATGTTTCTCACATTGATGTTTCTCTTCCTTCTTCTCTCTCTAAAATCAATAATAATAATAAAAATCATATCCTCAGGTGAGGATTAAACATAAGCATCCAACAAGGTAAAATTCACAATATATGGCATCCAATAAAAAATTTCCAGGTATGCAAAGAAGCAGGGAAATATATAATGATAAATCAGTCAAACTGACTCAGAACTAACAGGGATTAGATTGAACAGATAAGTATCATTTCATTTAATCTAACAACCCTATGATTAAGTACTATTCTTTTTCTATTACAAAGGAGGAAAGTAAGCTATTGGAAGGTGAAATAACTAGTTCAAGATTACACAACTATTAAATGCATGGGCTGGGCTTAAACTCATTCTGCCTGACTCTCAGACTTAGGTACACTACCATTTTTCTACATTGCCATCAGGGAAATAGGAAATAGTATAGAACAGATGCTAAGTCAAAAAGGGTCAAGTAAGGAGTGAAGGAGGAAGAAATAAAGAAGAGTTGGCAGATGTCATCAACTCCTCACACATGTATCATAGATTGTTTCCAGTTGTGTGGTCAAGGCCACTCCAAGTTAGCACTTTTAAATTATTTATTGTTGAAATAAATTATTTATTGTTGAAAGTTTTACACATGTCTCCTTTCCTTTCCCCCCATTGACCTCTCCCTGCCCGCTCCTGCCCCCCAGCACATGACCCCACCCGTATTGTCTGTGTCCATTGGTCATGCTCAGATGCATGGATACAAGTCCTTCGGTTGATCTCTTACCCCGCTTCCTCCCCTGCCTTCTCTCTGAGGTTTGATGGTCTGTTTGATGCTTCTATGTCTCTGGATCTATTTTTGTTCATCAATTTATATTGTTCACTATATTCCACAAATAGTGAGATCATGTGATATTTCTCTTTCTCCGACTGGCTTATTTCACTCAGCATAATGCTCTCCAGGTCCATCCATGCTGTGGCAAATCTTTTTTATGGCAGTATAGTTTTCAATTGTGTAGATGTACCACAGTTTTTCAATCTATTCCTCTGCTGATGGGCACTTAGGCTGTTTACAAATCTTAGCAATTGTAAATTGGGCTGGTGTTTCTGATTTCATGGGCTATATTCTTAGAAGCAGAATTACTGGGTCAAATGGGAGTTTAATTTTTAATTTTTTGATGAAACTCCATACTGTTTTTCACAGTGGCTACACCAGTCTGCATTCCCACCAGCAGGGCACGAGGGTTCCTTTTTCTCCATATCCTTGCCAGCACTTGTTTGTTGATTTGTTGATGATAACCATTCTGACAGGTGTGAGATGGTACCTTTGTCATTTTTTTTTTTTTTAAAAAAGGTGGTTTAATCTTTTAAAATTTATGATTATAAGCTCAGAGAACTGCCCAAAAGTTTTTTTTTTTAATTGTTTAAAGTATTACAAAGAGTATTACATATGTCTCCTTCCCCCCCCTCCCCCCCCCGCCCTTGACAATCCCCTGGCCTCCCCTACCTCCCAGTGCCTTATGTCCATTGGCTTGCATCTCTCGGATGATTAGTGACTTGGAGCATGTTTTCACATGTCTCTTGCCTTTTATATGTGCTCTTTCAAAAAGTGTCTATTTAGGTCCTTTGCCCATTTTTTGATTGGATTGTTTATCTTCCTTTTGTTAAGCTGTATGAGTTCCCTATAAATGTTGGAGATTAAACCCTTATCGGTGATAACATTGGCGAATATGTCCTCCCATGCAGTGGGCTTTCTTGTTGTTTTGTTGATGGTCTCTTGCTGTGCAGAAGCTTTTTATTTTGATGTAGTCCCATCTGTTTATTTTCTCCTTAGTTTCCATTGTCCTAGGAGTTGCATCAATAAAGATATTGCTATGACATATGTCTGATATTTTGCTGCCTATGGATTCTTCTAATATTTTTAAGGTTTCCTGTCTTACATTTAAGTTTTTTCTCCATTTTGAGTTTATTTTTGTGTATGGTGTAAGTTGCTGGTCTAGTCTAATTTTTTTGCTTGTATCTGTCCAATTTTCCCAACACCATTTATTGAAGAGACTGTCTTGACTCCATTGTATGCTCTTGCCTCCTTTATCAAATATTAATTGAGCATAATGGCTTGGGTCGATTTCTGGATTCTCTGTTCTGTTCCATTGGTCTATATGTCTGATCTTATGCCAGTACCAGGCAGTTTTGAGAACAGTGACTTTGTAATATAGCTTGATATCTGGTACTGTAATTCCCCCAACTTTGTTCTTTCTTAGGATTGCTGTGGCTATTCTGAGTAACTGTTATATTTTTTAATTAAAAATTTACACAGATGTGTGAGCCAATGAGTCCAGGTCTCCTTTTCTAGCTTAACATAGTTCAGAATGTGCCTTCTGCAGTTATGAAATGTAGCAAAACATATTCTCATCTGTCCCAGAGAGGCGATGAATCCTCTCTTCAGAGAACTAGCCCCTGCATCATCTCAGCCAGGTCTCTCACTAATTGGTTGGACTATAGACCTAACTGATTTAACAACTTTTCTCTTTCATTTTTAATAACAGTTGTAACACTTTATGATTTTACTTACAAGATCAGCTAACTGGAAATAGAAGGTTAAGTTTGGGTAATCTGACTTGTAGTATTATTACTAATGTTGAAATCACATAGGTAAAGATTGGTACCTTTTAATTAATGTGTTTCTATTTTCTTCTTTACAATAAAGGTTTTTTTGAAGATGATTGACTTTAAATAACAACAGCATTGTAGAATGGGAGTTATAATACATGTACAAGTAAAATGGATAGCAATGGCATAAAGGTTGGGAAGGGAGACATGGAAGAATACAATTATAGCTAAAAGCCAACAAAGGAGATAAAATGGAATCATAAGAATTACTATTATTCCAAAGATAGAAAAAGAATAAAAGGAAAAAATCAGTAGGGACAAATAAAAAATAGCAAAATGATAAACCCAGCTATATCAGTAATCACATTTAATATGAATGGCTTAAACATCCCAATGAAATGGCAGAACTTGTCAGATTAGATTAAAAATATCAAAACTCGAGTATGTGCAATCTTAGTTAAAAGTAAAAGGATGAAAACGACATACCATGTTAACACTATTTTTTTTAACTGTCTGTGTTAATATCAGACAAAGCAGATCTCAGGACAAAGAATATTACCAGGATGAAAAAAAAATATTTCAGTATGGCAACAGGGTCAATTCACCAAGAAGATGTAATAAATTCTAAATATTTGTTCCCTATAACAGAGCTTCAAAATGTACAATGAAATAAATGACTGTAAGGAGACATTTTAAAAATCATAAATGTAGTTGGAGATTTCAATATGTCTCTAAATAGTTGGCAGGAGAAGTAGAAAAACAATGTCATAAAAGACTTGAACAACACAATCAACTGACTTGATCTAACATTTATAGAACACTCCACCCAACAACAGCAGAATGCACTTTCTTTCCTAGTGCACTCGGAATATGTACCAAGATAGTTCATATTCTGAGCCATAAAACAAATTTTAATGCATTTAAATTTATGCCGAGACCGGTTTGGCTCAGTGGATGGAGCGTCGGCCTGCGGACTGAAGGGTCCCGGGTTCGATTCTGGTCAGGGGCATGTACCTGGGTTGCGGGCATATCCCCAGTGGGGGATGTGCAGGAGGCAGCTGGTCGATGTTTCTCTCTCATCGATGTTTCTAACTCTCTATCTCTCTCCCTTCCTCTCTGTAAAAAATCAATAAAATATATTAAAAAATAAAAATAAAAAAAAATAATTCAAGTCATTCAAAGCATCTCTGGGAAGTCCTCAAATATTTGAAAACTAAATACATGGCCTAAAGAGGAAATGAGAAAGTATATAGTTTGGGATACAAATGACAACATAATATAGCAATGTGGGGGATGCAAGTTCCTAAAGCAAGACTTAGGGTAAATCTTATAGCACTAAATGTCTCAAACCAATGACTTCAGTTTTTACCTAGAAAAAGAACCAAGTAGAAAGTAGTAGAATGGATAGAATAAAGATCAGAGGACAGCCCTGGCTGGTGTGGCTCAGTTGGTAGAGTGTCGTCCCGTGCATGGAAAGGTTGCCATTCAATTCCTGGTCAGGGCACATGCTCAGGTTGCAGGCTCAGTGCCCAGTGTGGGGTGTGCAGAAGGCAGCCGATTGATGTTTGTCTCTCACTCCCTCTCCCTTCTGCTTTCTCTAAAAATCAATTTAAAAAATCTTAATAAAAATAGATCAGAGGACAAATCAAATAGAAAACAACAACAACAAAACAAAGAAAATTAATGAAACCAAAAGTTGATTCTTTGAGAGGAGCAATTAAATGTATAAACCTCTAGCAAGACTGATCAGGAAAAAGAGAAGACACAAATTACCAATATCAGGAATGAGGAAGATGACATCACTACAGATTCTGGATTTATAAAAAGAATAATAAAGGACTATTAGAAATGATTTTATTTTTTAAAAAATATTTTTATTGATTTCAGAGAGGAAGGAAGGTGGATAGAGATAGAAACATCAATGATGAGAGACAATCATTGATTGCCTGCCTCCTGCACACTGTATTGGGGATCGATCCC